CAAAGGACGTCAACATGAACTTGTTACAGAAGTGTTGCTCGTTCTCCGAGTGGTGGCGACCCATGTGTTTGTTTTAACATGGCATTCAGAGTTCCTTGTCTGATACATTTCGTTTTATTGTCACCCTTGTGTAAATTCAGCGACAAAATAAAAATTACAAACGAAATACAAACCAACAACAACACCAACAAAGACATCATAGAGGGGCTACTTTCGATTGGGGCCTCAAATGGGAATGGTTTGTTTTCTTTATCTTGATCAGTCCTGCATAAGACGGCCACCTGTCTTATACGGCCACTTTTCTCCTTGACAATTGGTGGCCGTCTTACACAGGTTTGACTGTATAAGCAATATATTAAAGAAGCGTGTAAAAGCAATAAGAAACAGTGAATAAATTCATGGATGAAAAAGTAAAAGAGCAGAGGTTGGAACATGAGGATAGAGCATGGAGAAGGAAAAATTTACTGGTGTTTGATTTGCCAGAAAGCGAGGATAAAGAGGGTCAGGCCAGGAAGAAAGAGGATTCCATTTGGGTAAAAATTGAACAAATTACAGAGGAACTGGGAGTGACTCGAAAACCCTTTGATATCAGGAGAAGCAAGTGCTGATTTGATGAGGAAATTTATTGAAGCAAGAAAAGATGCAGCAAAGGACAAAAATGAAAGAGATGAGGACAAGTTATACTTGACTATTGGGATGTGAAGAGATATTGACAAACCAGATCCATCCCAAAAACAAAAATTTCATGGAAAGTCACTTTTTCGTCTTTCGAGCCTCGTAGCTGATAATAGAACAGTGCGTCGTACGACTGATATTGATCGGGGCAGACAGATATGTCAACAACGATTGAGGCTCTCACAGCATTGAAATAAAAAAAATTTCTTAGGGGGCTGAGATGCCCAGACAGTACTCTAGTCTCATTCATTATCAGATATAGTCAAATTTAGTCTATTTATCATTATATTATATTAATGTCAAGCGCCATTTGCCGATCAGCGCGAACTTAAGATGGCGCAGAACCATGACGATCCGCAGAAAGTGCGGCCATCTCGAGATGGGCGCGCCATCTACGGATTATTTTCGAAAATGAAATAGAGCTGCGCGATCTTAAGATTGTGCAAAGCAAGAAAGAATTGCGCCTATGCCATCTGCCGATCGCAGTTTTTGAACGGTGCTTTGGCAGGAGACCGAAAAATAGTGTGGCAACCGTGACTGAAAGGGGAAAGCAAAGCACTTAGAAATGAAACGCAAAAAAAGTCAAAAGAGAAAGGCTGTAGATTCTATGGGGGCAAATGATACTTGCGTCCTCTTGAACCTTTTTAAAAGAATTTTTGAAATTGATGATAATAGATTCTAAATTCTCGGAGTTTTGTTTGTGAACTTTGCAAAATCGTTGGTTTACGTAATGGCGCGTCGCGCCCATCTCGAGATGGCCGCGCTTTCTGCGGATCATCATATGGTTCTGCGCCATCTTAAGATCGCGCTGATTGGCAAATGGCGCTTGACATTGATATTGACTATCTGGTAATGAATGATGTTATAGTGGATAGAGACTAGATCTAGAGGGGAGGACTTCCGTAACGAGCGACCACTATGAGACGGAGCAGAATTGAGGGCTAGGGGTAGGGTAGATCTAGGGGTAGGGGTAGGGTTAGGGTTTGGGTTAGGGTTAGGCCTCTTCTTTATTGTGTTTGATGTGGTGGTCACTCGTTACGGAAGTCCTTCCGGTGATCTTATACTTTAGCACGTTAAATTCCCAAAGTCTACATCCCCGACTCAGACCTTCAAAACTTTGACTGGGCCTAAAAATGCACAAACTACCGTAATTTTTTTCATGAACAGATAGATGGTATAACAGTGGTTTTCGGTCTTCCGTCATGATTTTGGAAGCCATTGAGTATAATCTAGATTTGATAGATCTTGTTTTAAAGTGGTCGCTCGTTACGGAAAAGGGAATAAAATCAATTGAAGAATTTAACGTGCTAAAGTCAGAACTAAAGTAGTAAGTAGTAAGTACTAAATAGATCACCGTCCTTCCGACTAGACTAGACCTAGACTAGACTAGACTAGAGACCAACCTGCTTCATGGCGAACCATTATGTTTTCAGATTTATCTTCCAGCACTTCTATAAGCTTCGGAATCGCATGACTATTTTGCATTTGACCTAAACAAAATGCAAGTTCATGCTTCAACAGGGCCGACTCATCGTTGAAACAACTTGTGATTTGATCAACAGCATCGTTACCACCCAAGTTCCGCAAGGTAAACAAAGCCCGGAACCTCTCTTTCAGAGGCTGTTTTGAATCTCTAAGTGTTTCTCCAATGTTCTCTATGGAAGCCATCGCCTAAATTTAGCCTGAATCGATTTGTATTTTCTCAAAAATGTAGTGACTAGATCCAGATCTACTAAGACTAGATCTATGGGGTTACTTTCATCCGGCAGTTGTGCAACGCAAAACGTAGCCTAGAAGAATAAAAAGTATCACAACATAGCACGTTTCCGCTATGATATATTTTCAAAGTAATCTCCCTTGGATAAGCACAGGAAACGTCACAGAACTGCTTTACACTGCTATCTGGTGGTACACTCAAGGAGGTTAGGCCTGGATCGACAGTTCAGTTCACTAGTATTAATTAATACATTGTAATCCTTGAGTTCACTCCTTCCATTTGGTCCCATTCCCGCTTCGAATTATTCATACACCTGTGTTTGTTGTTTAATGAAAAATCATACATCAATTTATTATGTATGAATTTTCAATAAGATCTAAACTACTACTACTACTACTACTACTACTACTACTACTACTACTACTACTACTACTACTACTACTACTACT